GTACAATCAGGTGGCGCTGTGGGTTAAACCACAGAGCCTAGGACTTGCCGATCAGAAGGTCGGCGGTTCGAATCCCTGCGACGAGTTGAGCTCCCGTTGCTCGGTCCCTGCTCCTGCCAACCTAGAGTTCGAAAGCATGTCTAAGTGCAAGTAGATAAATAGGTACTGCTCTGGCGGGAAGGTAAACGGCGTTCCTGTGTGCTGCTCTGGTTCACCAGAAGTGGCTTAGTCACGCTGGCCACATGACCCGGAAGCTGTACGCCGGCTCCTTCGGCCAATAAAGCGAGATGAGCACCGCAACCCCAGAGTCGGCCACGACTGGACCTAATGGTCAGGGGTCTCTTTACCTTTAATGTACAATCTAATGAGGAGCCAGGGTGGAGCTACCTTTGTGTTTGCTTCTAATTCTCTTTTTGCTGTACCAGCTTGAAGTTAGCACAGCGGAGGGAGCCAGATTGGGCTTTTTCACCTAGAAATTGGAAGGTTTTTTAGCCAATGAATCAATAACTGGCCCTGCTCCTCCACAAGACGTTTAACACTCCCTTTTGGGAACCTTGTGTTAGTTACTGCAACCACCCACATTCTCAGCAGGTGTAGCAGAGTTCACTATCAGCAGAGGGACCCACCTCTCGGAACCCTAACTCCTTCCAGGAGCAGTTAGGACTGCATGATTAACTTAAGTCCATTGATTTTATTGGTCTGTCCATAGTAAGACTTAATTGGATTCAACTCAGTATTTTCAAGCAGCAGGATCCTCACACTGTTTTATTGAGCATTCATCTCAGTTTGTTTGAAGGGAGGTTAGATGATGCTGAATCTAAAAAGAGGGTCACAAGTTTTATCTCGCCCTTCCCAGTGCATTTCCACATCACACTCCTTATCAGAAAAAGTCTGATATTTTGGGGGAAAGGATTTTTTTTTTTTTTTTGCAAGACTTGTGACTTGTGCAATCTTAATTTGCCAGAAAGTGATCGAATCCCATACATCGGAAAAGTGATAGTTTCCTCGCCTACGGCTTTTTATCTGGACGAAATCTAGTCAGTTGAAAGAAGCAGAATAAGTACCTTTGACACCAGCATGGACTAAACGGAACTTAATTTTATAAGATTATTACTTTGCATTCATATTTTTCCATCAAAGAAAGCTAACATCAGCAGGAACATTAAATAGATCTATCTGGGCTAATTCATTCTTCACTGGCACACAGAACTGTAATATATTAAAGGGGCATGCTGTGCCAGGCAATAATATGATTTAATTTACTTGTTCTATGTTTAACAAACATTAAAAGCAAAGCTAAACTGATATTTTAACTACATTTGTGTTCAAACAAGACTCTTGAGTGTACAGTAAGAGACGCCAAGATAGTAACTTTTCCAGCTGTACGTAAAAGAGATTAAGTTTTCGTGCATGGACAAAAAAATCCAAAACCCCCAAAATGGGTTATTTATTTTGTAAACACAAAGGATGGCACCTTGGCAACAACAGGGAGCACTTGTGCAAGAGATATGCCATGAAACTGGACATGCAATATTCAAGGGAGGGGCCACAACTCAACAGTACAGTAGTACCTCGGTTCTTGAACGCTGTGGAACTCTTACGTTTTGGCTCCCGAACGCTGAAAACCCGGAAGTAAGTGTTCCGGTTTTCTAACTTTTTCGGAAGCCAAATGTCTGAAGCTCCTGCAGCCAATCGGAAGCCGCGCCTTGGTTTTTGAATGTTTCAGAAGTCAACCGGACTTCCAGAATGGATTACGTTCGAGAACCAAGGTACGACTGTATTGACAAGGCCAAGGTTGCCATACGTTCGGAATTTCCTGGACATAGCAAGAATACAGCTATAAAAAATAGTGTCTGGGCGAAAATCGCCAAAATGACCAGGAAAATCTGGACGCTTGGCAACCCATGAAGTGTAGATTATGGCAAAAACTTCATTTTTTAAAGATATTTTGCAAAAAAACTCCAACCAATTCAACCTACAACTTTGCCAAAAAAAAAGCTCAACATCTTTTGTGTCTGGATCTTCCCTTTCTGAAATATGGCAACCCTAAACAAGGCACATGCTTTGAGTTCAATCCCTGAAACGCCATAAAGGTAAAGGTAAAGAGACCCCTGACCATTAGGTCCAGTTGTGGCCGATTCTGGGGTTGCGGCGCTCATCTCGCTTTATTGGCCGAGGGAGCTGGCGTAGTTTCCGGGTCATGTGGCCAGCATGACTAAGCCACTTCTGGCGAACCAGAGCAGCGCACGGAAACGCCGTTTACCTTCCCGCCAGAGCGGTACCCATTTATCTACTTGCACTGGCATGCTTTCAGACTGCTAGGTTGGCAGGAGCAGGGACTGAGCAACGGGAGCTCACCCCGTAGCGGGGATTCGAACCACCAACCTTCTGATCAGCAAGTCCTAGGCTCTGTGGTTTAACCCAGAGCGCCACCCGCGTCCCTGGAGACGCCATGCAGGGTAGGAAAGATTGTCATCTGAAACCCTGGAGTGCTACTGCCATAGTGGCCTGGTTTGCACAACCACATTGAGCCACACCATGGCTCAGAACAAACTTACAGAGGAGGAACACACCCGCCCCATACATGTAAATCATCATGTCTTCCCACAAAGAATCCTGGGAACTGTTGTTTGATAAGGGTGCTAGGAATTGCAGTTCTGTGAGGGGTCCCAGAAATCTTTGGGGTACGCCATGACTGTTACAGTGGCGCAAGAATGCTTTAAATGCATGACCAAGATCACAGCTGCTTTTACTCATCCCTGGTCATTCTGCTGCACCATGCTGATCTAAGCCATTGAAGGACAGTGGGTTGTCTGTACTGGATTCAAAGTTCAGTGCTCCCAAACAAACCATGCACTTCAAACCATAGGGTAAACCTTGGCCTATGGTTTGCATATGAAATACCCGAGTGTGATTTTTTACGAAACTCGCTGGATGACCTGTGCTTTATCATTATGTCTCTGAGCAAGCTACTGAATTGGGAACACGGATGCGTGGAGAAAGAGAAGGACCACGGAATAAGTTCCTTAAAGGAAGGACAGGGAAATAAAGCATGTGGCTATATTATGCTGCTAAACTAGCAATAAGGGTTTTCATTAGCAACATTTTTGAAAAGTTGTTTACCAAAATTAAAGTTAGTAAAGGAAAACGTTCACACTGCTAAAAGAAAGCTCCACACACTCTGGGAAATACCTGGAAAACTCGCTTGTATTTCTCAGTTTTTCACTATCTCTAACCTTTTGAAAGCTTAATCTTCCTATGTGTGCAGTATGAGCAATACAATGTTATATTGAATTAGGTGCTCCAAGTCCATGGAAACCGATGGCTTGGGCACACCCAACTCTACGTAAGACTACAGCCTACACCTGCAAGTGTGTTCACCTCTTATAATACATTTCCTCAAACAGGTTTCAACCTCATCCTACAAGTCAACTTTTGGGCCAGTCCTACCCACAGCCAGGCAAAGCTGCTAAAAACTAGATGGAGCTCTCCATTTCTCCAATGGATCAAAGACCTGATTACACTTGCTACCTGTAAGCAGGTTGCTTATAGAAGGACAAATATGCTTATTGCATGGACAAGTATAATGGAATTTGGAACTCATTTTTGCAAAATACAATAGGTTAAAAATGTGATCAATTGTTATAGCAATATACTATACCCTATTCTCCCCTTTTCCCTCCCCCCCTTTTAAAACTTTTTAAAATGTATTTAAATAATAATAAAAAAGAACTGGATGGAGCTACCTGGCAGCTAAACTCAAGCAAGCCCCATGAAATTTTAAAGGGGCTTACACTTAAGTTGATTGTGACTAGGATCGCTGCTCAACTCTTGAGGATGCCAGTGTGGTTACTATTTACATGGCCTTAAAACATTGGCAGTCCATATAGGTTCCGTGTAAAATAACGCCATAAACTTTATGCTGCGGTCTTCTCTTTGCTGCGACTGTATTGTATAAAATAAGAAAAATAAAAATATCTGAAGAAGTGTGCATGAACACGAAAGCTTATATCACAACAAACTTAGTTGGTCTACTGGACAATTTTTTCATTTTATTTATTTTATTTTTATTTCGACTGCGTCAGACCAACACAGATACCTACCTCAATCTAAAAATAAAAATGCAAAAACTTTGGATCTGCCAGGCTTCATTGCCAGTTGCATTCTGATAAAAGCACTGGCCTTTTTTTTTTTAACCATCTCCTCTGGGGCGTTTCGCTAAGAACTTCATTTTTGTGCCCATAGCAATGTGAATACGTTTTATTGCACTACATCATCATCATTATTATTGCTGCTGCTGCTCATTATTTAAAAAGGACACGCCCACTTGCTAAAAACTGGGTGAATTGTGGGCAAAGTTTTGGGTTGCTGGGTTCTCCCCCCCCCCCCGCCTTTGAGGGTGTGCGTTTGTTTATACTAAGTGGGTGGCGGCGTGTTTGGGTTTCCCCTCCCAAGCGCCCTTGCAAAGCCAGAAGTTAATGGTGGCGACTGATAAGCGCAGGAGCACCGTCAGTCACTTGCTGCTGGGGAAAGATGCCGGCTTCCTCCTCCTCCTCCCCCGCCCGCATGCCTGACTCCCACGCACGCACACTCCCCCCCCCCCGCCCGCCTGGAGGAGTTCTTGGGAAAAGTCTGCCCCGTTTCACCTCAAGCTCTCCATTTAACTTTGCTCGCGCGCCACCGAGGATGCTGCTGCCCAAGGGAGGCGCAGCCAGAGAGTCAGGTTGGCGGGGAGAAGGAACACCAAACGCGCCACACACACACAACCACACACACCAAAAGCGCCACACACACAAATACCCAATAAAGCACCCAGAACAAAGAAGCGTCCCTGGGCCGGTGCAGTTCTGCCTGCCGCCAAAAGGCACCGTCCGCCTCAGGAGCGCACAAACGCGACTCCAAGCGCGCACGGCTTCGCTCCTGCTGTATCCCTCAAAAAGGAGGTTTTTGAACCTCCACATTACGAGAAATAAAGCCTCGGGGCCAGTTTGCTTCTTTACCCTCCTCCTCCTCCTCCTCCATCATCATCATCATCCCGCCTTCGCCGCCGGCGTTGCCGTTCATTGGGCGCCGCCACTCCTTTTGGTCAGAGAAAGAGAGGCGCGGCGGCCGCTGTCGCCGGGGCTCCGCGCTGTCGCCTAGCCGCCGAAGCCGCGACGCAAATGGCTGCAGGTGGAATTATAGCCGGGCTCCTCGGCGCGCCGTGCCCGCCCCGGAGCTGCGCTCGGCTCCGCCCTCAGGCGCTCGGCTGGACTCCTGGTGCCGAGGCCGGCTATAAATACCTCACACGAAGGCGCGGAGACCCTCCTGCCTGCTGCCTGGCCGGGGGGAAGGGGGGCGGGTTGAGCTGAGGGGACGCTGAGGGCAGAATTCAGGGGGCGCCACAAGAGATATAGATATTTCCATTATTTCCTTCGGAAATTTGACCAGTCCCCAGAGGCAGGAACTAGCCCTCTCAATAAATACATTTTTAACCCCTCTTCCGTGTCTCACGTGCAAATACACAAAAAGGAAAAGTTGCATGGAGAGGGTCAGCTGTCCTCCCCTCACGTCAAATTTGGGGGAGTATTTCCCCCCAAAAAACATTTTTTTGCAAGAAAACTACGGGGGGAGAGGGGCAAACCCCTGAAGTGGTTGAAATTTGGAGACATAATGAAAGTGCATTATGCAGGTGACACTATCCTAAGGACTCTGTTGCAGGTCTTCTGTATGAAGTCTGCAATGTGCCCAGGGTGGATTCTAACAGGGTTTTGTTAAGAAATGCTGTTCATCTATTTATCTTGGCTATATATTAGGTTAACAGGCCTATAATTTATTGACGCCCCCTAGCTCCCTTTCGAAAAGTATGTGCTAACACTAGCTGCCTCTGGAATGTAACATCTTGCTGGCTTTTTTTGTTTGAAAACCAGCAGTTTCCCTGGGTGCCTGCTGAAAAACTACTACGTGTTTATTCCCCCTCCTTTGGGGGGGGGTCTGCCTACCATTTTTAGGTGTAAGTGTATATTTGTGTGGGCTTCTATTTGTTTGTTTGTTATTATCTATCTTAGGGCAGTTTACAACACCGAATTGCAATATAAAAAACTACAAAATGGAGAGTACAAATAACAAACAACCAATAACACCACCCCAGCACATTTAAAACGACCTCGGATGTCAATCCACCAAAGGCCTGGTTGAAGAGGAAGGTTTTTGCCTGGTGCCTAAATGTGTATAATGAAGGCACTTGTTGAACCTCTCCAGGGAGAGCATTCCACAAATGGGGGGCCACTGCAGAAAAGGCCCGTTCTCGTGTTGCCACCCTCTGGATCTCTCGTGGAGGAGGCACGCGAAGAAGGGCCTCAGAGGATGATCTTAGAGACCGGCTAGGTTCATGTGGAGCGAGGCAGTCCTTGCAGTCCCAAGCCATTTAAGGCTTTTTAGGTCAAAACCAGCACTTTGAATTGGGCCAGGAAACTAATTGGTAGCCTGTGCAGTCAGACCAAGATCGGTCTAATATGCTCAAACCATCTTGCCCAGTGAGCAACCTGGCTGCTGAATTCTGCATTAGCTGAAGTTTCCAAATCATCTTCAGAGGCAACCCTGCTGTATAATGCATTGCAGTAATAATCTAACCTAGAGGTTACCAGAGCATAGAATGCCACTTCTGAAATGAAACATTTCTTGCCTGCTACAGCTTCATTTTTTGGGGGACGCGGGTGGCGCTGTGGGTAAAACCTCAGCGCCTAGGACTTGCCGATCGCATGGTCGGCGGTTCGAATCCCCGCGGCGGGGTGCGCTCCCGTCGTTCGGTCCCAGCTCCTGCCCACCTAGCAGTTCGAAAGCACCCTTAAGTGCAAGTAGATAAATAGGTACCGCTTTATAGCGGGAAGGTAAACGGTGTTTCCGTGTGCTGCTCTGGTGCCGGTTTGTCAGAGCAGCTTCGTCACGCTGGCCACGTGACCCGGAAGTGTCTGCGGACAGCGCTGGCTCCCGGCCTATAGAGTGAGATGAGTGCACAACCCTAGAGTCTGTCAAGACTGGCCCGTACGGGCAGGGGTACCTTTACAGCTTCATTTTACTATCTGTATTTTAATAGATTTTTTTTATAACCAAAGGCTTTCACTGGTTGTTGTTTTTCCGCAGCATGACCCCTGTGACTAGAAATGAAGGCTGTGAGCACATTATCATTTACTCCAGCTCCAGTGCGCTCCCACTCCTGGTGTTGGAAGCACATGATGTTAGCCACAATTCATATCTACCTGTTGGAAACATACACCTGAAACCAACTTCCATTCAATTTGAAGATGTAAGCCACATTCACTCTGCAGTTAAGGTGGGGTGTATACATTTCAGACAGCTGCTGCGCATGTGCAAATGACAACCAGGGCCAGCCCCCCACATGAGGCAAGGTGAGGAGACCACTCAGGCAGCAGGATCCACAGGGGCAGCAGATCCTGATGTAGATCTTTACCACACCCCACCCCCTTGTTACTGATGTAAATCTTCACTCATCCCATTTTTCCTGGCAGGGAGGGAATGCCATTTTGTGGTTCGCCTCAGGTGCCAAAATGTATTGGGCCGGCCTTGATGACAACACATGTTTAGATGGTAATTTCACAAATAAGGAGAGCGAGGGTTGCAGGTGCAGGGAAACCAACAGGTAACATGCTTTGCATGAATACACCGCTGCCCTTCTCTGGTGTGTACAGCAATGTGCAAATGCAAATTGAAACAAGAGGGTGAGGAACAATCTGATTGCTTCTGAAGCTGCAAGTTCTGCCTTGCAGCTCAGTCGGTGGGATGGGGTGAACTTGAATCCTAAAAGATGAATTGCTCTCATTTATATTTTAGAGGCAGGGGCCTAAAATGCTGAAATAGTAACTCGCTCAAAGTCGCCCAATCCCCCTGTTGCAGAACTGCAAAGATGCCATGTGGGTAAGAATGATATCTTAACACTCAAGGAAATGTGATGGGGAGATGTACCCCAATTGTCCCTTTTGAGTGGATAAGGATGTCGAGACTAAATAAGTGTGACTGATCTGCCAACCAGTATTTTCCCCCTCAAGGCTGGGTGCACACATGCAGATAAATTAGGTGGAAGAATGCTGAGATGGTGAAATGGACTATAACTCTTCAGGCAGAAGACGTAAGATAAACCCTAATGCTCCCCCATGTTTGTTTGCTTTAAATCCCTGCAAACAGAAAAAAATAACGTCAGAGAGAAAGGTTGCAAGCCAAGCCTTCACTGCATATATACCCCTTTCTAGTTCCCTCCCCCTTTCTCCTCCCTCAGGAGTCCTGCCCCATGTTGAGGTTCCTGAGCATGTACAGAAAGCTGTCTTGGGACTATTGTGGACTCTTGGCAGGAAAGGGGGTGAGGGGGTTTTCAGAGTGTTCCCGTTGTTTCATTCTTGTGCTTTGGCATGGTTCCCGGAGAGAAAGCAAGTTGCAATGTGGTTCTGAGAAAGGCCTGAGAAGACAATGGGCTCTGTTCTCTACCTTGTTGCAATCTTTTTAGTTACAGCAAGCGGAATGTTTCTGATCCTTAGCTGCTGAGAAAATGATTTTGAAAAGCTTTGAGAAGCTTTGAGCCTGCTTTGGGGGGGGGGGTGACTTCGGGCCTAGGTGAGGTCACCTGTCCTCACCTTCCTTCATTCCCCCCTCTTAATCTTTGGACAGCCTTTTTCTTAAAAAGGCTCGTCCCAGGAAGGCACAGGCTGCTCATCCGAAGAAGGTACAGGCTGGTATACTTGGGCCAGCGCTATAATCTGGGGGCGAAGCATGCGTGCAGATTACCCCCCCCCCCCAAGACTAGGGCCCTTCAGGATTTAACCTCCTTCCGTCGGTCCTGTAAGACAGAGCTATTCCACCTGGCCTTTAATTTGAATTCAGCCTGATCTTTTATTTCCCTTCTCTTCCCTCCCCCTCCCCTTTTACGAAGATTACCCGCTCTGAGACCCCACAGCTAATTCTCCCCTGGCCTCCTCGCTGGCCCAAGTAGGACTAATTCAGCCAGCTAGCCCTGGTGACTATCTAATGCTTATTAGATGGATTTCCCCCAAATTGATTTCTGAAGTTTGAATTTTATTGTTATTCATGTATTTTATGCTGCTTCTACAATTAAGTGTTTTAAATTTGTTGTTAGCCGCCCTGAGCCCTGTTTTCTGAACCAGGAAGGGCGGGGTATAAATAAAAAATTATTATTTATTATTATTATTATTACTGTGCTGGCTGTTTGTTGTGATGGAGTTAATGCAGGGCTAGACTGCAACTCCCACCAACCCTGCAAATTGACCCTAGTGGCACGGACTGATGGGAAATGGAGTCCAATCACATGTGGCGGACTACAGGTTCCTCACCCCTGACACAGGGGCGGGCATTAATGTGATCTTTCATTTGCAGACTATAGTGGTTCAGAGCATCTTAGCACAGCATGCTACTCCTTTAATGTTCCGCATGTGTGTAGACTTTTGCCGCTGCAAGCAAAAAAATATTGCAAGTCCAGATCTCATAATAACAATGGCTTAATCAAATATAAAGTAAGGTTTAAGTCACTAATCTCATTTTATGGCTCGGAAACTGAGATTGAACTGGAATGACTTGCTCAAGATGCCTGCCCGATACTATTTTCCTTCCATAACAATGTCAGAGCTGCAATCTCCTACACATGAGCAAGTCCCACTGAATGCAGTATGTCTGAGTAGACATACATGAGATTCCAGTGTCGGGCACTTTGTGACCAAACAGCAATTGTTCACAGACACTTGCCGCTGCCGCCCCCCCCCGCCCCCACCCACTGATCCAACATGAGCTCTTCAAACAAATATTCTGGAGGGGGCAGTTTGCATTCCACCCTTTTGTGAGTGGGCATTGAAGAAACAAGTGCGGCATTCTTTTCGAGGATGTTTGTAGAATTTGCGGCTAAATTAGGAGGTAACAACAGTCTCAAAGCAACTTAAATGAGGGCCTGTGGAAATGAAAGAAGGGGGGGGGACCAAGAGTGTGATTGCAGCTGAGTGATTGAAAACACACACAAAGCAAAAGTCCTTCATCACCAGGGAAGAAAGCTTGCCTTTAAATTAATCCCAGATGAGACATTCTACCTCCCTCTGAGCTAGCTGGTAACTGCCTCAGGAAAATGCAGCAGCGCCATCCTTCAGCATAACTGATGCTGTTTTGCCTCTTAAACCAGCTTAAAAAACCACATTGCAGATTATAGATATTGCTCTTTTCTTATCAGAGAAAGGGGTTGAGGATTTTACGGCTTTGGGAGGC